GTAGTTTTTCTTCATAGATTGTTCATTCACTGAGTGCACAACAAACAACTCTTCAATATTTGAAGAGGGGTGTGTGCCTGAATGTGGTAATTGTAGAAGCGGTTACAAATGTTCTTCAGTTGGTAAGTGTGAGTTGGAACAAAACCAAAACACTAGAAATAGTTCTTTTTTGATTACAGTCATCCTCTTGTGTTTAGTTGTAGTAATGATAGTTTAACAGTTGTGCTATTATTTTATTCATTGTTCTTTTGTTAACTCTATTTTTTGAAATTAAATAAGTGTAAGTGAAAAATAGCAAATAATAGATATATCTACAATTTGATATTATGAATATTGAGAAGTGATTATTTCAGTGATTTCAATATGTTCTATTTCTATAATAGAGTTCATTTCTAACATATGAGAATTAGAGTGTTCCTCTTCTAATGTGTTGCCAGTGTTGAATGTGTAGAATATTAAATATTTCATGTTTTTAATAATGATTGTTCGTAGTATTTTGGGGAAGTCAATTTGTAATTTTAGTGTCTTTAATCTTCTTACTGTTTCTTTATGTATTAATTTATTGATTGATAATATTACAGGTATTATTTCTACATAAATTATTTCTCTACTCTGTATTAACTTCTCTTGTAATTGTTTGTATTTATTTATTTTGTAAATATAATTTAATTCTATATTTCTATCTTGACATATGGAGACATCAATAATATATCCTTTTCTTTCTTTGACGGTTTGATAATATATATCTGGTCTTCTAGCATTAAACGAATGGTCACTAACCAATAAATCTTTATTGTAAGTTATAACGATTTCATTATTATTAATACACTTAGGAGGGGCATTAAAATCTATTTCATCAAATTCATTAAAATGAGTAATTAATATATGTTTATATAATTGATTACATACATAGTCGTGTTTTGATATTTGATTATTCTTCATTACAGGACATCCTAACAATATATGGCTAATAGATGTAATTGTGATATAACAATGTTTACAATATTTTAAAGCATCACAATTGAGTATTTTAGATTTAATACTTCCTGTCATAATTACTCCTTCTTGCATCTTTACTAATTGGAGGAATGCATTTCTTTTTATATTTAATGACCTCCATGTGGTTACTGATAATTTCATAATATTAAATATACAATTTACATTTCTTATATATTCACTTCATTTCTTTCAATTCATTTAAATATCTTTCATTTATTTTATTTGTTACAAATTCAAATACTTTGTTTACATCATGTTTTATTTCATTTAACTGTATTATGTTAATTCATTGAAATTAATCTTCTTACCAAATACTCTCTTCATTCTTTTAATTATTCCATTTGGATTCTCTTTTACTATTTCTATCATTTCTAATATTTCTGTATTTAATATTTATATTTTAAATATATTCTTATTATTTCATTACAATATTCATCTCGTGGTGACATTAATCACATTTATAATTCATTTATTGTAACATATAATCTACTTTTATTGATGTTTCTACTGTATAGTTGGAGTTGTATCAATGATTTTATTATTTGTTTATCTATATTCTCCAACTCACCAAGTTTCCATGGGACAATACAGAATCCATATCTTAATTTTGAGATTATATCATTATTAATCTTTCTTATTGTATTGATGCTGCTATAGTTCATAATATTTAATGATGATAGAATAGAAGATACATCATTTAATAATCATGTATAATATTTATTAATATTTATTTTATCTCTTATTTCAATACCAAGATATTTATAATGATTATTATTGGTTATTCTTGGTAATTCTGCTATTTCTCCACTTATTTGACCATTGATATTATTCATTATCCCACTCTTTTATACTTTTATTTTTGATCATATTCCATTAAATATTTCTTTTGTTAATTTGTTGGCTGAAAAAGGGTCTCCAAATAATAGAAAAGAATAATATAAATAAAAGAAAGAAAACTTGGCTTTACTTAGTTTATGATAGTTAAGTCATTATTATAGTAGTATATCTACTGCTAATATTTATTATATTAACAACAACTACATCCTGATTTACAATATGAGATAAATAACCATAATTTGTTATATAATTAATTGTATTTAACTTCAAGGAATTATTGATACAAAAATTAATACAAATATATTGAATTTTATTTATTTGGAGAAGAAAACATTTATAAATAAAAAGAGCAAAAAAGAATACAAAAAATATTATTCATTGAAATGATTGGTAGGATATAATTTGAATCAGTTAGAATTACTTTATTTATTTTTAATTGAACTTGTATACTTTGTTTTATTCAATTGAATCAAAAAGGTCTTCTTCTTGAAAGTGTTTATTGAAAAAATTACTAAAACCACCTGCTAGTATCACTATAGAGACGTTAGATGTTGAAAAATATTTTGAAGTAATAAATGCTTCTTTTAATGCTCGAGCACATTTTGGTCCACGTTGTTGTGATCTCATACAGTGGACAACTATGTAATTATAGTCATGATACTTCTCAAGAATTTGAGGAATTTTCTTTATAAATTCATTTACTCGGTAGTTAATTGCTCCGTGAATTACGCAACTCCCAACATCACTTGAACGAACATCGAATATTTGCAGTTTAATTTTATCATCCTTCATGAGTTGGATTAATTGTTCATCATTGATATAATCTACTTCAATCTCCATAATTTATTATTTTTTTAGTTTTAGATTGTTTTTTTAAATAAATAAAAAGAAAAATCTTTCTCAAGGACATTACTTGTAGAATTAAAAAATAGCCACGGTTTTAAAGAGTAGTTTCTTCTTCAAGAATAATCCTTTTAAGTTCATTACAACCTGATTGAGCTTATGTTTTTATTTGAGTTACCGTTCCAGCACTTACTCATTAATTTGCAATAATAACCATTCGTTTCTTTTGCTTATTCAAATCTTTTTCTGTCTGTAACAAATTTTGATATTTTCCATTGTTGGTGTTATAAACCTTGGACCATTCAAACTAAATGTGTCTTTTCAATAAATGCTTCATATATTACCATGGTAAATGAGTGCAGGTCAGATGGATATGAATACAGTGTATTTCTCGTGACCTCTGGAGCTATATATGCAAGAGTTCCAACCCCTTGAATTAATTTTTTTTGTACAATCTTATTAAGAGTTCTACAATTACCAAAATCAGTTAATTTATCACAAAAATTATTTACTGAACTTAATGAAAAAATTAATACATTTGACTTTTGACATCTCTATAAATATTAACCTTTGTGTAAAAAGACAACAGAAGCAAAGTCATAAAGTATTTTAACCTTCAATGAATAATTAATCTCATAACTTTTATTCTATACTTGACTTTAAGACTAAATTCAGCGTATTCCATTGCAATAGAATTTTTACCAGCTACATAAACCCCTCTAATAGATTCTACAAATACTGATTTCTAAATTGAGTCATCATTAAGAATTCAGTTCAAATTTTTTTTTCTTCTGTAATATATCTTCCTTTCATTTTCTTAATAACTACATTTCTTCCTCTATACTTTCCGAGGATAATATAACTAAAAGGTCATTCTGAAATCATTGGTAATTCTGGTTTTAAATCATCATCAAGTTTTAAAGAAATGTTAAACTCAAATTTAATGGTAAATATTTGCAATACTTTCTTTGTCTCTATGAATAGGTCTCAACGGTATTTCAACATAACGTTGTGAGCTATATTTTGGTATTAATATAAGGGTAGTATTAGTTTCAGTACTAATTTCAAGAATACCTTCTTTTGGTTCAGTAACCAATGAATATTTATCTAAGTAATATGATTCAAGAAATAAAAAAGTATATCTTCTTAGAATTATTCGAACTCTTGAGATTATCTAATCTAATTGTTTGAGTTCTTGATTATTCAATAACTACTTACTTGTTTTACTACAAAATTCTAAGACAAATTCACTAGCATTTAATAGGAACTCTTCATTATTAATTTCCATCAATTCTAAATAACTTTATTTGTGATAGTATATCCCATACATGAAGTTTGTTTTCTTTGTTTCTTCTTAGGTATAAAGAAAATTACAACAAAGATAATGCTAATAACAATAACTCTAATAACAACAATTCTAATAATAATTCTAACAGTGGTTTTAATTATTCTCCATTCTTAACTCTATAGTTATTTAAACATCCAATACATTCATCAGAATTACATTTGATATAATATGAAATCTGATTACATGAACTACATTCTCTATTTGAAACATAATTTTGATTACTATTATATAAAATACATTACTCTTTTCCAATATTAATATTAAATACACAATTTAAGTATTCTCATTACATTGTGTTAAATTATAATCTAACACTCTAATTTTATAAAATGATTTTTATAGACTGTACGTCTGATGTTAAATTTTCACAAGTCACATTAATCTCTCCTAAACCCTTGTATGTTTTTGTCCTATTATCTTCTTCTTTAGGTAAATAATATCCTTCAGCACGACTGATACATGAATAGCCATTAATACGAGTGGAACATGTCTCATTGTATTTAAATAAAGAAGGATATTCTTCATTTGCAGAAAGGTTATAAGGAGAGTTACACATTAAACAATATATTGAAGAAGTAGCTTCACATCGTGTAAATCTATTTCAATATATTCATATCTCTTCTTCACTTCATTATCAGTTAGTAAATATTTAAGAATATATCCATTAATACAAGAACAACAATAATCATTTTTAATTTTACATTCTTTATAATGATGATTATATTTTTTACAAGTAGATTCGTTCTCAGTTAAGTAATATCCAAACATTATCATCATTTACATCATTTGCTGTTGATTTACATTTCAATTATTGAAGTAATTCATTAATTTCACAATTGTCTTCTTGTAGAACACAATTACTTTTACTATCAAAGTGGAACCCAGTTTGACATTGATATAAAAAATTGAGTTTTAGTACACTCTACAAGAATTATCACATAAAAGATACTTCCAATATTCTGTCATATAACAATAACTCACAAATAACAAACATCTTGTGCTGAACTGGATTCTTTACAGTGTTAAAATTCTTTAGTAACCCACTTTAATTCATTTTGACAATTCGTCATAAAAATATATTCACACTATAGACTGAACACTTTCTATATGCATATGTTATACATCAACGAAAAAACAGAAAAATATGACCTTATTTTCTTCATAACCCATTTGAGTTAATAACTATCTTTATATTGAAAACAGTGTTCATCAAGTAAATATTTTGTAAAATCTATATCAGTGCGACAATACTCAACTGACACACAAAGATTTGACTAGTATCACTTTTCAAGTAATTTTTATTTGCACAGTAATAACATATTGTATAAGAAAAATATTTATTAATTACTTTGATAAAAAAAATACATAACGTAAATAATGAGTTAAAATATTGACCATCAAGACATCTTCTACAATCAACCATTTTTGAATATTCTAGTGAAGTACAATCAATACACCTTTTCATGTCTAAATAAAGCAATAAATCACTGTTACATTTCTCAAAAATTATTTGTTTATTTATAATAGAACAAACTCACATCCAACATTGATGAATTTCAATTGATACATGTATTGTTTTCTATATTTAGAGTATATCCCTCATTATATTCATACAAAGATTTCCATCATAGTCCTTCAATTATCCACAGTGTAACATGTTTACATAAAACTTTTGGGAACTACTATTAACATCAATAAATGGAATATAGAGAATAGTATTTATTAGATACCATATCACTAATTTCATTTTGACAAAAATCAATAGCAAGACAAGTCCAAGAGAAGTAATAGGTTTATCTTTACAACTTATAAACTCTTTAACAAAAGATCCCTAAATAATCTTTTGTTTATAACCTTAATAAGAATGTTCATAACTCTTTTTACAAAACAACTTTCTTTTCATTCTTCTTCTGAGTTCTGGTAAAATAATTGTTATTTAGTATTCATTTAATACTTCTATTAATTATGGAAAGAACATGAAGTAATATCTACTAATCTCTGTAATATTTCTATAAATAATAACTTAAAATAAAAAAAAATAATGTTAAATATAAACAGAATACATCAAACATTGGAAAGCTTTATTTTTCAACTTATTGCTCTTTGTCCTTTATTATTGGAGGAGTTCTTGGAGAGATCCTTGGAGAAGTTTTTGGAGAAGTTTTTTCACTTTGAATAATTTGTGACTTTATACGAGGAGAAGAGACAGCTAAATCTTTCGATTCGTAAAGTTGTCTTATTTGACCAAACTTACTAGAGAAAATTGTCTTTTTATTATCAATACTAATCTCTATTTTATGTTCTTGATGTTTAACTTCACTTTGTTGGTGTGGGTTAGTAACATTAGAAGAACGAGTAGTTGATTTAATTTCTACTTTTTGGTTAGGAACTTCTAATGAATTTCTTGAATCACTGGGAGAAGATATAACTGAAGGTGTTAAGGTAGTAGATGATGAAACTGAGTTTGGTGTATTTAATGGAGAATGACAAAATTTTGAAGGAGATAATTGTGTTCGTTGTGGACCAACAGAAAAAATAACAGACCTTACTATTGGAGAGCTCTTTTGGAAATCACTAAGATTTGCAAATGTTAGTTGTGTTTTTGCTTTTATATTCAAAGAATCTGTTTTACTAAAACGTTTCTTTTGAACGTGCCTCCTTGGTGTTTCTATTAATGAGCGAGTTGAATCATTTAATAAATGGGGAACAATCCTTGCATTTTTTTTTGATATTAGTTCATTTGCTGATGATACTTCTGAAGAAGCAGCAATTCCTGCATTAATTTTAAGAACAACAGAAGTAGGGAGAAAGTCAATAGAAGGTAGAGACCATACAAATTCTTGTAAAAACTCTACTTTTGGTTGTTGACTAATAACACTAGTTGAATTTAGAATTAAAAAAGATAAAATACGTTCTGATAATCCTGGTGTTAAACCATAAAATAATAAAGGAGCAAATCCTTGTGGTAATATATCTTTAGAGAAAGAAAAATGTAACGATAATAATTGTATAACTATACTAACAATAGGTCTCATTGCATCTGTTAATTCATCGAATGCTCTTCTTAATAGTTCAATACGATCTTCTCTATCTAGAAAATCAAATGATACAAAATGTTTTGTATGTTCAACTGGAATCATTGGTTCATTTAATGATATTAAATACATAACAAGTAACCCACCTGCAATAGGACTTCTTATAATTCCGTGCTCTTCAAAGTTTCTTATTTGAACAACACAGTCATCAATCCTGACATCAAAATATCCTTGTTTAGTGAATTCTTCAGAACTATAGATAACTTCAATTAATCGTTCAAGTTGTTTTGGAACTCCAGTATTAGAACATTCAATGTCATGTCGATCCGTTCCAAACAATCGTTGATATCGTTGTTTCCTACTTATTTGACAAATTCTTTTAATAAATCCTCTTGCTGTTGTTAAATCACATTGTAGTGTTAGTGGAGATGAGAATGATGAAACTAGTCTATTATCAATATAATTTTCATCTAGTCTAAAAGAAATGGTATTTTTCCAGACATTAAGTTCTATAGAAAGTAATTCAATAGGATAAATAGCCTTAAAACGTTCTCCAGAATAAATAATTACCATTACATCAACTATAATAGCTACTGCACTAATATTATCTAAATGAAAGATAAACTCATTGTAAAATCGTGATGATTTAAAGTGAAGTCTATCAGTTGATAAATCTCCTAATTGACTTCTCAATTCATGAAGAGGTAATAAATAGATAGTATCTCTCTCAGTCCATTCTATTTCATCTAACGATAATGATGGACACATACAACCTATAACTTTTTCTCCTTTAAGTAAGATAGGGTATGATGGTATTACTGTAAATGTTTGAAGAATTGGTTGTAATTGATTTAAAGGAAGGGTTGGGTCTAATGGGATAGTTGTTTTACATATTTCTCTATTATACTCCATTATCAAATTAACATATAATACTTTTTGTAATGCAGTAACAATTACTTCAGTTTCTTTTACTGCTATTTTGATTCTTCCAACAGGAGAAGATGGGCTCATTGATTCGTTAATACTATTTCCAGTATAAAAAATATATATTTGACATTTAGAAACATCAACACCCATTGCATCCCAGAACATTTGAGAAATTAATACATTTGCATCTTTAGCTGCAACAACTACTAATTCTTTTCCTGGGTAATGTAAAGTTAATCGTGTACATCCTGCTGATAATGGAACAATAGACGAAGTTCGTGGTTCAATTTTTAAAGACAAATCAAATGCTTCTTTATCACTAATAGTTACTTCATACCTTGAATCAGAGATTATTGCTGCTTGAATTTCTATATTTTTAATGATCAATTGAGCGTATGTTTGTTGATGCATAAACATAACTTGTTCTAGTATGTGTGCAATTTGTCTACACTTACTAAAATTAATCATTTCATTTTCTTTGGTTTTGTTACCAAAATTAGTAAAAGTAAGATCACTCAATATTAAGCCAATATATGGTACTATTGGTTTACCAACTAATTGACGTGATTCTTCTCTTAAAACATTCCAGTTTTTATCTGGGCAAGCAATAGGAATTAACTTATTTAATACCTTTTTACTCTCTCCACTTATTGAATCAAATGACCTTTTTAAACGATGAATGGCTGATGTATTAAAAAGAAGAAGAACACATAATAGTGTGTCAAAATTATGATATTCAAAACAATAATCAGCTACACGGATAAGTCTTTCTATAATCGCTGCTCTTTTATTTGTTTCAGTTTCATTAAGAATCATTCTGGTGAAATGGTTTTGAAGTCCATTAAAAAATGTTTGTGCGTAAATAATACTTTGACAGCTTTCTTTCTCCCCGTTTGACCACATCAACATTTCATATAACCTAATTCTTCTAAACATATCTGAAACAATAAGAGTTATTTGACGAGCATATTCTATTGGATGTATTGACTGAAAAATAGTTGGATTTAATGTTCGTCCAATAATTTTATTTAATGAAGGAATCGGTTGTTCTACATTCTTTTGACATTGAACATATTCAACTTCAACATCATTCATCTATAACATATAAGTATTTATTTTTATTTAATAATAAATAACAAACAATTCTTTGATAGCACTGTTTAATTAAATGATGTTCTCGTATCATTCCATAACTTTTAAGTAAATTTAATAATTTATTAACAATATCATTAACCGAACTTTCATTTTCTTTAATAACTCCCCAAATATTTTCAATCCAATATTTAACTGCACTAATTACCCTTGCTCTAATCAATAAACTTGTTTTAGAATCATCATTACATCCTACTTCATATCTTTCAATCATAGCTTCTAACATTTCTTGTGTAGAACAAAAACCTGTGTATGTCCAAATAAATGCTTTCATCATTCCATTTTGTTCTTCACTACAAAAACATTCAACAAGCCCACGAACATCCCCTTTAATTACTTTGCCATTAGCATCTCGTTCAATACATCCTGGAGGTATTACTTTTTTAATTTCTTTTCTCCTTTTTGATGTACTATTTCCTTCATTATGAACAACGACGAATTTACAACTCTCTATGCCACTTTTCAAAATGTTAACTTCACGAGCCAACCTTATTTGTATTCGTTGTTCTGTCATATAATTTCTAGAATTTTGTAAATATCCTACTAATGAATCATTTGGTTTTGTAGAAAATATTGTACCTCTTTCATTATGGAATAATCTGTTTTTATGTGATGGATCAATAACAATTGTTGGCTGCATAAAACCAATTTACACTTCAATTTTTTAGTTTATTTTAAGAAAAACAGAAAAATTTATCTTTAAGTAGATAAAAATTTTTTTTTTGTTATTTACTTTTTTTATTTATTTAAAAATAATAAATTTTTTTTATAATAATATAAATAATAATTTTAATTTACAAACGAATCTTATTCAACAAAAAAAACACAAAAAAGAAGTTATCAACTAAAAATAAATACCCTTGTTATGACTGAATTACCACATATTAAAAGTAACTCAGGAAGATATGCACTAATGAAACAAAAGTATTCAAACAAAAATAAAGGAAGAGTTAGTGTTGTTTCAAGTTTTATTTTCTTTTCATTTATTATTCCACTTGCCTTTGGTTATGCTGTATGGAGGCCAATGACCCTTCTTTGGACACTTACAGTAAAACAGTCTAATCATATTTTTTGGATGTCATCTTGTTGTTGTTGGATATTATTTAATGTTAAAGTTTTTGAAGAATTAATATATTCAAGAAAGTTATTATTGGTATCAAATATTGTTTTAGATATTTGTATGATTCCAACAACAATACTTCCTTTTGCATTAAGTTATGACATATTTCAAATAATGTATAAATTAATTTTTGGACATCCTTTATTATTTAAAACAAAAAAAATATGGGGATTTTGTATTTTAACTATTTCTTTTATTCTAAATAATATTGGATTCTATAGAGGTACTCATATCTCTACTACACATTATACTATTAAAACAAAGAAACTTAAACATTCTAAAATTCGTATTGCACATATTTCTGATATTCATATTGGTTCAAGACTCGATAAATTACCACAGAAAATGGTAAATAAAATCATTGAAGAAAATCCTGACTTAGTTGTCATCACAGGTGATTTAATTGATTCACATAATGTCATTTCAACTGACCTTTCTTCTTTCAGTGCATTTAAAGAAAGAAATATTCCTATTTATTATACTATTGGAAATCATGATATTATGGCAGGAGAAGAATATGTATCAAGTATATTACAATATTATGGAATTATTTATTTAAAAAATCAAGTAACTCAAATAGTTATTGGAGATGAAATTATCCAATTAGTTGGAATTGATGATGTTCAAAGTGTAACTAAATACAATGAAATTTTTGATTCTATAACTTCTTCAATACATAATAATATCTATACAATTCTTCTTCACCACAGACCTCAGGGATATAAAACTTCTGTTCAATCAGGTCAGATTGATTTACAACTTGCTGGTCATACCCATGATGGTCAAGTATTTCCTTTTAATTATATTGTTCCATTATTCCATAGTAAATCTTATGGAATGTATCATATTAAAGATTCTTCCAATGAACTTGTTTTATACACCCATCCTGGGTCATGTGCATGGGGACCTCATTTTAGAACAGCAGCAAAAAATTTGATAACAATTTTTTCAATTGAATCTTCAAATTAATAAGATTTAATTGAAATACAGTCAATAAAAACTAAGATCAAATAAATACATATCAAATTAAATTACTTATTTGTACTGGAATTTATAGTTGATGCATTTGTTTGTTGAATAATACTTCCAAATATATCTGGTTCATTTTGTTTATTATTTTTTCCAGGTAATGGTGTTTCATGTCGAGTATGGTGTCCTTTCTTTGAGGTATTACTAATAATTTGTGATTGTTTATCTAATGAGTTTGTGTTCATTAAATAATAAGTTCTTTGTTTTCATTTTGAAATAAAAAGTTCTTTTAGTCTAAAAAACAATATATATTTAAATATTCAGTAATAATTCATATTTATGAGATTTGCCTTGATGTCTTTTTTTCATTTTTATTATTCCTGTTGATTCAAAAACAATTTCAAAATAAAACTACAAACCTGACTTACTTTAAAAAATTAATAATTTATGTATCTCTGAAAATCTCTCATTCAGACGTGCAATTAAAATAAAATGTATTGAATTGTAAAGTGCTAATAAAGAGGATTAAAAGATGGTGTCATCCTGAGTGTTGTAAAACTTTAGTTAAATTTAGTAGTGTTCAGTAAAAAACTTCAAAATTATCTAATTGTTTAAGAATGAGCAAAATCACTACACTAACAAATATCAAATACTAAAATAATGAAGGTAGAATTAAATTATTATTCTTGAAATTCTTTTGTACTAAAAGAAAAACACAAATAAATAATTCATTAGAATTATTCATTAAAGAATAGTTTTTGAAGAATTATTTTGTTTCGACTTTGATTTCTTATTTGCTAAAAACCCAACTAGAAGGCTTAATAATGCTACAACAACAAGAAGAGCTCCTCCTAAAAAATAAAGTGCTTTAAGATTATAGATATATTTGGGTGGATCATTATTTTGATTAATAATACTTACACATAATTCTAAATCAGTTGGTTCTAATACAGTCACATTAAAATAAATAATTTCTCCATTTGTTACTTCTAATTCAATTGCATTTGTTTCTTCACATCGAGGAGCTGAAGCAAAAGACTGAATTGGAAAACTCAACTGACCATCTTCACAATGGTCGTACATTTCTACTTTAGCATGACCAAGTTGACCATCCCCACAAAAAGTTAATGAAACTTTCTCATCATTATCTATTCTTAAAGAGAAGGTAGTTGATGAGTTGATTCTGATACTGCTTGGAGTTGGCACAGTAGGAATTGAAGAACATTGTGATGAAGAAACAAGGCAAATGAAAAAGAACACAAAGAAGAGTTCTTTCATAAATGAAATATTGTACTGTTAAACAATTAGTTCATTAACCTCTTTTAATTAAGCTCATTAATCTAAAGTAATTCCTTACAATACCATTTCAATCCATCTATTCTTGAGAACTTTACTTTTTTCTTTTCCATTTTACATTCCACTTAAGAATATTCTAGAATATCATTTAATTTTCGTTTTATATAACATTAATAGCTAAAAATAGCAAAACAAAATCTTAATTTTTTTTACATTGAGAAAAAAATAGTAATAGAAGTTATAGTAATAAACTAATAAAAAATTATGTTCAGTTCATAGTTCTTCTTTTTCTTCTATAAAATACTTTCTTTTGATTTACAAAGAAGAAAAAAGAAAGTTGGAACAGTAATTTATAGAGGAAAAAAATGTAAAATAGGGGTAAAATCTGTAAGATAGAAAAAACCTAAAAATCAAATCTTAGGAAACGAAGAAGTAAAACAAAAGGAAAAGATAATCTCAAAAATACTTAAAGTTTATATGAATTTAAGCGCGGACCAATCGCGTTCATCAGATGATGAAGATGATGGAGTACCGATACGACCTCACACTACTGAAGGTGTAACTAACGGACCATCGGTTTTACTTCCTGTTATCCCAACAATTAAGAAACGTAAAGCAGTAACTACTGACTTTAAGAAGATTGCACTAATTGGAAGAGGGAATATTGGAAGAGTTTACCTTGCACAAAAGAAAGGAACAAAAGAATTTTATTCGTTGAAAGTTATTGGCAAGAAACTAGTTACTCAGAATAAACAAAGACATATAGAAAGTGAAAAAGGTATATTAGAACGTTTAAAACATCCTTTTATTGTTCATTTAGAATGGGACTTTGAAACACCCTTTTATTATATTTTTGTTATGACTTACTGTGCTGGAGGAGATTTTTGGAGATTATTAAATAAACAACCAGGTAATTGTTTTAGAGAGGTAGTTGCTAAGTTTTATCTTGCTGAAATTATTTGTGCATTAGAATACCTTCACATGGAAGGTGTTGTGTATCGTGATTTAAAACCAGAAAATATTTTATTACATGAAAGTGGACATATTATGTTAAGTGATTTTGATCTTAGTAAACATTCTGATGTAGAGGATCATGCTAGAATAAAATCAAGTTTATTTGGTGAAGATGAAGTTGTTGTTGAGCCATCTAATTTCAGATCTAATTCATTTGTTGGTACAGACGAATATTTAGCACCTGAAATTATTGCAAAAGATGGACACTCTGCGTCAGTTGATTGGTGGACCCTTGGAGTCCTTATGTATGAATTTCTTTATGGTTGTAATCCATTTGCTGCTTCAAGTATTCAGGAAACATATTCAAAAATTCAAAAAGGAGAATTTACTTTTCCTAAAATGCATAGATACAAAGTATCAAAAGATGCAAAAGATCTTATTAAAGAATTGCTTGATGTTGATTCTGAAGATAGATTAGGATCAAAATATGGAGCATCTGAAATTAAACAACATGACTTCTTCTCTAATATTAAATTTGCATTAATTAGAAATATGACACCACCTATTATTCCTCGATTAAATGGTCGTAGAGATACATCATACTTTTATCAATATAAACCTTATGATGATGACGTTCCTGATGATTGGGGATATACTACAGAACAATCAATAGAACTCAACACAACAGAGTTTCGTAGTTTACAACAAGACGAAATTAAAACTCAATAATTTCCTTAATAAAAATATAATAAATTATCTTTTCTTGTGTTTACTTCCTTCGTTTATGATACCCCCTTTCTAAATTATATGAAAATGAAATAAGAAATATTTTTAATTAACTTTAATTGTAACAATTCCTTCAAGAACATTATAAGCTGTTTGTAAAGCTTCCAAATTCTTTTTTAACATTTCTCTCTTTGTTGTAATTGCAGGACTTTCACTCATAAGATCAGTTATTTTGTCACTCTTATATAATTCTTCAATTAATGCTTTTTGTAAGTCTTTACAAGTTTGGTTAATGAGGAAGTGCATAATTGCTTTAGGGACAAAGTCCTCAACACTCTTTTTTACGATGTTTAAATATGATTTAGTTAATTCTCTCATCATCATAATATTTCTTTGTTCTCTTGTATCAGTGGTATTTATTTCAATTGGTTGAGTTTTAAGTTGTTGTTTTGGTTGGACTTGAATTGAAGGGGTAGTTTGTTTTTGAATTTCATTGTCATCATCTTCATCTGATGCTTTACTTCCCCAAAACCAGAATCCAGTTTTAGAGGGAGATTGTTTTTTAGGGGGTTTAGTTGATGGTTGTGGAATAGGTTTTGGTGGAGCTTGAGCAATAACAGTAGGATTTTGTTCATTTGCAGGAGTAGCCTCATTTATTCCAGCTTTTAACATAATTTCAGTAGCATCAAAATCAGGATGAACAGTATTAATATAAGATTCTTCAATGTCAATTAAATTTTTAACTATTTCATGAGTTTTATTTAAATTTTTATCTAATACAGTATCAGAAGCAATAACTATGGCATCTCTTAATTTAGTGTATCTTACTATTACTTCAGAAGCAACATATGTAAAAATATTTGACATTTCTTTACGAATTTTATCAACACATTGTTGAGAAGAATCAATAAATTTATCAATTTGTTGTTTAACTAATGTTTCAAATGCAGCTTGTGAAAGGAATAATGCTGAATTAACTCCTTCAGTATTTTTCATAGCAGTTTTAATATCTTTATCAGAAATTTCTTTAATTAAATCAAGTTTATCAATAATTGGTCTATAAACATTTTCAAAGATATCAAATATTTTTGCACCTCCAAATAATTCATGTTTTTCAATATCAAATTTTTCTCCACTAATTGTTTGTTGAATTGAAGTACAATATTCTATAATTTTTTCTAATAATGCAACATCTTTTTGGTCAAATTCAACTGCAAATTTATTATATTCTAATTTAGTTTTATTTAACATTTCAGTAATAGTAATACGAAGTGATGGAAGAGTTTTCAAAATATGTTGCATTAAAATTTCATTTAATGTTTTTGTTAAATAAGGAATACCAAGTCTATCAGCAATTTTTGAATAAATTGGATGATTAGAAAACCATTCTTTTTCTTTTATAAGTGCTGTTTTAATAGATACATTAGTATCAATATCATGTTGTGATCTATTTAATACTCCAACATATCCTAATTTTAATGGATATACTCTTCCATATAATACATCCATTGCATCTGTTCCTTTATCCATAATATCCATTTTAGTTAATACTCCAATTGTTCTATCTCCATTAGGATCAACTTCACGTGCAATAGATAATGCATCTGATGTAGCTAAATCTACATTAGCAGAAGTAACTGCAAGAATAATAGCATTTGGACTTTCAATAAATTTAAGTACCATTTGTTTTAATTGATTACTAATATCTTTTTCTTGACTTCCAACAGAAATTTTAGTTAATCCTGGAAGATCAACTAATGTTAAATCAACAACATATGGAGAATATATTTTTAATCTAATTGCAACTGGTGAAATTGTTTTCTTTGTTCCTGTTAGACGTATTGTTTCATTTTCAATCTCTTTTTTAATTTCTTCAAAATCTCGATAAACAATTCCTGGTTTATGTGCAAATTCTCCCCATTCTGTTGTTTCTGTTGATGGAAGATTAACTAATTGAAGAATTAATGGTCTTTTTGTTACCATTCCACTTCCTCTTGGAAGAAAATCTCTACCAACAATACTTTCTAATACAGATGATTTCCCAGCACTTTGAGATCCAACAACAACAATTTGTGGAAGATTAATTCCTTTTACTCCAATAGTATTAAAAACATCTTGAAGTTGGTTAATAATTGGAATAAGACTTTTCATAAATTTAGTAATGTAATATCTATTTTCAAGATGAGTTCATTAATATGGTGAAAATCTGTCTTAAATTGAATAATTATGAAACACTTCATTAACTTCATATTTTTATCATTTTTATTATGAAACTTAAATAAAATTTTAGTGAAAGATTTTTAATTCATTCTCTAAAAGTCTTTTGTTTTTTATTCCTCATTATTTTTATAATGTCATCTAAAAACAAAATCTTTATACTAAGTAATAGTATAATACAATTTGAGTTATAACATAAATTAGAATAATGATTCTCTTGGTATTCTTTCTTTTTTACCTTTAATTATTTTAATTTTCTAAATTAACAAAACATAATAACTATATTGTTTTTAAAGAACTTAATGATATTATAGTTAATTTTAAAATGATAAGATTTTTAAACAAATATAATTAAAATATACAAATTTTTATTGAATATAATCAATATTATTTTAACCTTTTAATTCATTAGTTTATTAAAGTTTTTATGTATATTCAATTATCAAAGATACTTAATTAATAATTTTTATAAAGATAATCTCTTCTTAACATAACAATAAATTATAGTATTTGAGAGTACCAATAATTAACTTACTGATTAAAAAAAAACTTTATTATGATAAAATTTTATTACAATTGGTATTATTCTTATGATATATAAAATAATAAAACAATAAATTTAATTAATTTCTTCAATAATAATTGAAATATTCATATATTTGTTGTAAATCATTGAACAATTCAAACAATAATAGATTCAGAAAGAATAAATGAATAACCAGTTATCATCATTGAATTAACTTCTAAAATTCATAAAATTAAATGATAATTCTATATACAAATGAATTTACATTATAAATGATGATTAAATACTATTTAAGAACCAATAAAAATGAATGTATTATGATAATTAATTATTCTTAATGATATTTAATATTTTTCACTCTTTTTATACATTTATATTAATAAATAACTCAATGATAAGTTATTTAAGTAATTTCTAAAGAAATATAATATTAAGATAGAATATAAATACATTTTAACATATTTGTTTATTAAAACAAAAATATTGAAATAATATGATATATTATTAATACATAGTGTTTTTTTTTTAATACAATCTTAAAGAATAATAATTTTCTTCTTTCTTTAAATCATTATTTTTATATCTATAAAAGAAACGTTTATTAATGGTTTTTTTTTTAATCTAGTTAATAATTTTGATACATTATCAATAGAGATTGGATTTGTTCATTCAATAGAAATGGTTA